TTTTGAACGCAGCAGAAGTCATGCTGGATTGACAGCAGGGTCAATGTTGAATGTTTATCCTTTTAAGCTTGGAAAAGAGACCCTTAAACCCAGACTTGGACCACACATCCACTCCACTGAATAGCAGTCTAGTGATTGCTTTGCAATGCTTGCAGTTAGCCACTGGTTCCTTCCAAACCACTCATTGTTAAGTCGCTCTGGATAAGAGCGTCTGCTAAATGACGTAAATGTAAAATGTAAATGTAATTGTTGAATTTGCAATTTCCAACTTGTTGTGTAATGTTTATGTCCAACGGCCGATGAGCACCGATACGTTTTATCTATAATTTCTCTTCATATTTTTTCTTCATATGACAAGGATTGAAAAGGATTTGCCAGTAGATTGTTGACTTGATTCATGATGATGACTGCTAGCTTGCTAGCTAATATTTTGAAAGTATGATGTTGACATGATCAGTCCAATCACAAAGCTACTGTAGATACGTGATTTGACGTCATTTTATCTGTGGTCAATGACCTTGAGCCTTATTGAATGGGCATTTCTAATGTAACTCTATGGCAGCACCCAAGGGGCTTGAATTTTCGAGCTCTCTCCGTAGATTTTGCGGTGACATAGTGTCCTAATGAGTGACAGAACACTGAGCCAATCACACTGCAACTAGAGAACATTACCAACCCCTACGCACCATATTTACAGAAAGCACTGAGCTAGGCTGAAATACCTGCATTTTGGAGCTAACTTACTCAAGAAAGCAAAAAAGAGACCATGTTTGTATGCAGCTTTATTAACTCAATGATTTATTTGTATATTTTTTTTACATTGTTTGCAAACTGATATGTGACACGTGTTAATGCCAAAATAACATGCAAAACAGGGAATTTAACAGGTGGGGCTCAAAACAGGTGGGGCTCTGCCCTGAATGACGGGTCGCCACTGGTATTAACTGGTATACGACTCCTTGCCATTCCTCAAGCTATAATGTAAGATGTTCACTGGACCCTGGCAATCTGTGTGAAATATTAACTAATTAGCTAGCTAACGAACTAACTACTATCTATGAAATAATGTTTTCCCTCTATGTGGTTAATTTTCAGAATGAGAGAATTAGGTGAAAATGAGGCATTACTTGTTAAACAAGTGGATTCAGGGATCAAGTGTAGCTGGAGCTGGGCCTGGCTTAAGCTGGATGCCAGTATAGAGGTGAAAGGAACACCACACACTTTCTCACTTTATTTTAAATGTAACCTTTATTTAACCAGGAAAATCCCATTGAGACCCAGAGTCTCTTTTTCAAGGGAGACCTGGCCAAGAAGGCAGCAACAATCAATACATTACATAATTATTTCTGGGATTTGTCCCCTGGGAAAGATCTAACAACGGAAATAAGAAGAGACGAGATGAGACAAGCCAGTTATAGAATATTGTGTTGTAGGACAGCTGAGCTGACTCAAGACCGGAAATTCCACTCGCTAGTTGATACCATTTCCACAGTAACATGTATTTACATGATGTGATGAAATGTTAAAACTAAGTTGCAAGCTACTTTAGAACAAGTGTTTTATGAAACACATTTCAGATACTGGCTCTTGCTATCTTGCCATAAGTGATTTGACAGAGAAATATCACCAAGCTATGCTAGCTGCAGTCAGCTTGGCTAAACACAAGGTCAGCGCAGGCTTCAGCCTACATATAGAACTGAATTAGCTGACCATCTTGAGATGGCCAGTCAGTCAGGAGGGGAGAAGTCCTCAACTTTAAAACGTTGTTCTGCCCATAGCAAAGCTAGCTTAGCTTACCTCACTGTACTCATTACTGGCCTTGTTTGTTGTGATTGAATGGCAAAGACACACCCACGAAACACCCACATCAAACTACACCCCCAAGACGACTCTCGTTTGCCTTCAGCCATGGCTGCTAGCATTTCTTAATGAGCATTGATGAAAAACAAGGCCAAATCAGGAAGTGCAGTTGCCCTTTAACGCTTGTTATAAGAATGTGTGAGCCTTCATAATGTATTATTAGGCTTATAATACAGTGCATTCGGAAAGTATTCAGACCCCTTAACTTCTTCCGCATTTTGTTACGTTACAGCCTTATTCTAAAATGGATTAAATAAATAAAAAATCCTCATCTACACACAATAAATAACAAAGCGAAAACAGGTTTCCATTGATCATCCTTGAGATGTTTCTACAACCTAATTGGAGTCCACCTGTGGTAAATTCAATTGATTGGACATGATTTGGAAAGGCACACACCTGTCTATATAAGGTCCCACAGTTGACAGTGCATGTCAGAGCAAAAACCAAACCATGAGGTCGAAGGAATTGTCCATAGAGCTCCGAGACAGGATTGTGTCGAGGCACAGATTGGGGGAAGGGTACCAAAAAATGCAGCATTGAAGGTCCCCAAGAACACAGTGGCCTCCATCATACTTAAATGGAAGAAGTTTGGAACCACCAAGACTCTTCCTAGAGCTGGTCGCCCAGCCAAACTGAGCAATCGGGGGAGAAGGGCTTTGGTCAGGGAGGTGACCAAGAACCCGATGGTCACTCTGACAGAGCTCCAGAGTTCCTCTGTGGAAATGGGAGAACCTTCCAGAAGGACAACCATCTCCGCAGCACTCCACCAATCAGGCCTTTATGGTAGTGGACAGACGGAAGCCACTCCTCAGTAAAAGGCACATGACCGCCCACTTGGAGTTTGCCAAAAGGCACCTAAAGGACTCTCCGACCATGAGAAACAAGATTCTCTGGTCTGATGAAACCAAGATTGAACTCTTTGGCCTGAATGCCAAACGTCACGTCTGGAGGAAACCTGGCACAATCCCTACGGTGAAGCATGGTGGTGGCAGCAACATGCTGTGGGGATGTTTTTCAGCGGCAGGGACTGGAAGACTAGTGTTACGTTCTCCCCTTGGGTGTAGCTCGTCTGAGGAGGAGATGTAAATGCCTGTGCCTGCGCATACAATGTAAACTAGATGGATGGGGAAGAAATGTGGGGTGTAACTAACTAAAATAACCAGACACAACAACCAGAACTCAATGTTGGCCCTCTGGGGACGTTTAGTAAGGTACTAAACAAAATAATATACAACACCCATAAAGAAACAGTAATAAAACAAAGACCAATCAAACAAACCAGGGATGGTAAGAGAAGGGAATGTTTGGGAACGGGGTCCAAGTAATGAAAATAAACAAAAGGTCCCTCCTCTTCTACACACCTAATCCTTCCTAACACACTCTAAGCCTTAACCCGCTTTCCTACCTGTTCCCACAAATACAGGGGTGACACCCGCCCGGCTAACCTAGTGTGTAAAACAGTGGATTATCTACGTGTGAATGTACACCCATGGGCAGAACTACCTTTCCCTTCTCCAGGACCCAGGTAGGGTGGAGTACATCAGGAGGACAGGCTGGAACACAAACAAAGATAAATCAATATAACCAAATACTCCGAAAAACAGCCAAACAAAAAGTGCCCCCTTTCTCTCTTGAGCTCACACGGCAAACAGTTTATATACTCTAGTCAATCAGTCACTCAACCACAGCTGCCAGGACTCCGGACCGAAGCCACGCCCACCATCGTCAGCCGCAACTCAGCACACCTGTATTAACCAGAACACACAAACAGAACAACCACTCTGAACCACACACACACACTACAAAGGGAGATTGGGAGAAATAAAAACATGTCACACGTAACAACTAGTCAGGATCGAGGGAAAGATGAACGGAGCAAAGTACAGAGAGATCCTTGATGAAAACCTGCTCCAGAGCGCTCAGGACCTCAGACTGGGGCAAAGGTTCACCTTCCAACAAGACAACGACTCTAAGCACACAGCCAAGACAACGCAGGAGTGGCTTCGGGACAAGTCTCTGAATGTCCTTGAGTGGCCCAGTCAGAGCCCGTACTTGAACCCGATTGAACATTTCTGGAGAGACCTAAAATTGCTGTGCAGCGACGCTCCCCATCCAACCTGACAGAGCTTGAGAGGATCAGCAGAAAAGAATGGGAGAAACTCCCCAAATACAGGTGTGCTTGTAGCATCATACCCAAAAAGAGTCTAGGCTATAATCGCTGCCAAAGGTGCTTCAACAAAGTACTGAGTAAAGGGTCTGAATACTTATTTATAAATGTGATATTTCAGTTCATTTATTTTTTACATTTGCAGAAATTTTGAAAAACCTGTTTTTGCTTTGTCAATAACGGGTATTGTGTGTAGATTGATGAGAGGAAAAAACTATTGAATCAATTTTAGAATAAGGCTGTAACGTAACAAAATGTTGAAAAGGTGAAGGGGTCTGAATACTTTCCGAATGCACTATATGTCATGTGTTTTTACTCTACAGGAAGAGATCAAACAGAAGCTGGCTTCCTTCCGTCTGTTGAAATTGGCATCCTCAAACCTCAAAGGTGTGAAAATAGCTTTTTATCACAGCGGCATGCATGGTACTCTAGTGGCAATGTCATGTTTGATTTAATTGATTGTGTGGAGTATTGTATTATCACATAATCTCAATAATTCATGTTTCTATCAATGTTTCAGACGAAAGCCCTTGCTGGATGTCATTTCCTACTAAGCAATCAAGATTCTTTAAAGAAAGATTCTAAATAAAAATGCCAACATGAGTTTAGACATTGTAATTAAATGCTTTATCATTGCGTTATCATTGCATTTTCGACTTCGGATGAATAAAAATGGGTTCAGATGCCAAAGGTTTTCTTTTGGAAAATGTATAAACAGTTGTATTCTTTATTCAATTAAGTATATTTTTGGCTGGACAAAAAGTTCACACAAACATTCAGAATTCAGAGAATAATAGACTATTAGAATAATGTTCCAAAAACATTATTTCAGAACATATAATCATTCCAATAACATATCATGCTTGTGTCATGACTAATTTGAGAAAAGGCAAGAGGCTGGCAGCATAGCATTGTCTTGACACCTTAGCATCCTTCTTCTCACTTTGGAATCTGGATACTGGCTGCTTGATCAGTAGCTCAGATCCAAAACGGCTTTTGGTCTAAAAGATACACAAAAAGATGACATGAGTGGAAGATCGAAAGACATAACCCCATATTTTGTATTAATGAATACATTCTATTCAATAGTGTTTCAATTAACAAGCACAGGTGATAATCTCTATAATCTTTAGTCGTCTGAACAGTTTCTTCTACTCACTTGCAGGCCTTAATGTTAATGCAGATGGTCGTCACGTCATCACTGGTGCTAAGCTCCTCAACCAAAACCCACAAGTGCTTTTTCACCAAGCCTTTACACAGAGATTTAACGAGGCCCATTTGATTGCAAACAGACAATAGCTTCTGCTTTATCTGCGCCTATTGAAGAGAAATCATCAACATCAGTTTACATTTTCAGATAAATATTTCAGTAAATAGTACATTTCATGAAGGGACACTTATGAATTGTAATGCTATGGGGTAGTTACTTGGCTAGTGGAAGAGGAGATGTGTTTCTTCACTTTGTTCAGTGCCCACTTACACGCCCAGCATGTTCCCTTTAACTGTTGCACCTGTGGAAAGCATAAACAGACAAGAATGTACATGGTGTGATGTATTCAGTATTATGGTTGAAGTACATTTGAATACGTAAGGTTGGACAGGAGTTTCTTCAGTCAATGTATTGGTTGCGTTCATGTCTTTGGTTAAGTGCTGTTACACAGTAGCAGGTTAGTTGAGTATTCCAATAGAAAGTTGCAGAAATGTCTACACTTTCTGCTAGTCCATACAATTTTGACCATATAGTGCACTGTTACCATGTGCTTTTCTGGCTGTGCTTCTACTACTTCCTGGTCTTCCTGGTCATCAAGGTTAACCTCTTGACATTGTCCACAGACTTCCCAAACTGTGAAGTAAAAATTGTACAACATTAAATTGTATTGTACTGAAACGAAAGGTGAACTTGGAGTGGATTTAGGTCCCCCCTTACAGATTCTCATACACCCTGACCCAATCAAATGTATCTGCTACATTTACAGTAGTTATTACTTGAGTTAACAAATAAAAGCTCACCTGAACAAGCCAGTAGACTGAGGGTAAGGAGGACCAGAGATGTCTTCATGATTTGTGGTGGTAGAGTTATGTAGAGTGGTGGTGGGGTTTGGTAAAGTGACTTAGGATTCAGACAAGCCCCTTTATATACCGAGGTCTCTCTGTCCCTGTACAACCCCCACCTATGACGTATTGATAGTACATCTCACGTTTACCACAACACACAAACCATACTGATCAACAGAATGTTACTTGGAAGGATGTCATATTTTCTTGTGGTTTAGATCTACACACTGATGAGAAGCAGTGATCTTGAATCTCTTTTTTCATCTCTCCACTGTCTAATCTTCATTTTAATTTCATTTTAATTTGTCAATTACAGATACCCTTGGATTTCTTCATATTTTATTGTGTTACAAAATGGGATTACAAATTTTTTTTTTGTCAACAATCTACTCAAAATACTCTTTCAAAGTGGAAGAAAAATGTTTTATAACTAAAATATAGTCGTTACATACAGTACCAGTCAAAAGTTTGGACACACCTACTCATTCAAGGGTTTTTCTTTATTTTTACTGTTTTATACATTGTTGAATAATTGTGAAGACATCAAAACTATGAAATAACACATATGGAATCATGTAGTAACCAAAAAAGTGTTAACCAAATTAAAATATATTTTATATTTGAGATTCTTCAAAGTAGCCACCCTTTGCCTTGATGACAGCTTTGCACACTCTTGGCATTCTCTCAACCAGCTTCATGAGGTAGTCACCTGGAATGCATTTAATTTAACAAGTGCAGTCACAAAAACAGTCGTCCTTCTGAACTGAGCTGCAGGACAAGAATGAAACTGCTCAGGGGGGATTTTAAAACAGTTACAGAGTTCAATGGCTGTATGGGAGGAAACTGAGGATGAATCAACAACATAGTAGTGACTACAAGAATGACTTAAATGATAGAGTGAAAAGAAGAATACAAATATACAGAATATGCATCTTGTATGCAACAAAGCACTAAAGGAAAGTAATACTGAAAAAAAAAAAAAACGGCAAAGAAATACACTTTTTGGCCTAAATGCAAAGCCTTATGTTTGGGGCAAATCCAACACAACACATCACTGAGTAACTGCTTCCTTATTTTCAAGCATGGTGGTGGCTGCATCATGGTTTGGGTAGGCTTGACATCGGCAAATACTGGGGGAGTTTTTCAGGATGAAAACAAATGGGATGGAGCTAAGCACAGGCAAAATCAGAGAGGAAAACCTGGTTCAGTCTGCTTTACACCAGACACTGGGAGAGAAATTCCCCTTTCAGCAAGACAATAACCTACAACACAAGGCCAAATCTAAACTGGAGTTGCTTACCAAGAAGACATTGAATGTTCCTGAATGGCCAAGTTACAGTTTTGACTTAAATCTGCTTGAAAATGTATTCTACTAAGCTAACATATGGAATTGTTTTAAGATGGTCATACCAAAGATCATTTAGTTATTTCAATTTGAATTTTAGGACCCATTAAGTATATTTTTTAAAATATTGGATGACAAATTGAATTTGGCTTTTGGCAAACTCCAAGCGGGCTGTCATGTGCCTTTTACTGAGGAGGGCCTTCCAACTTGCCACTCTACCATACAGGCCTGATTGGTGGAGTGCTGCAGAGATGGTTGTCCTTCTGGAAGGTTCTCCCATCTCCACAGAGGAACTCTGGAGCTCTATTTTTTAAATTGCTTCAGAGATGAGAACGCAGTCCAGACCAAATGCAGGAAAAGAACCAGAGTCGCACAGTATTATTGGTTGTTTGACTGTGAGCATTTGATGAAATGCATGCAGCATCATAACTTGATATCTCTGAAACATTCTGTGAGTAGCAGCACATTTATGAGCGCATCCGATGCAATTTAGGGGAGACTGGGCTATTTGATGCAGATTAGGGGAGACGGGGCTTTACCGGGGATATAAGTTACTGAATATAGCCTATTCACGTAGTAGGTAGAGCGGTTATTGCTGCATGTTGTTGAAAGACCAAAGTGAAAGTAATATGAAGATTGGGACAGACAAGTAATGCTTCATGATAATCACAGATGGATTTAACTTGAGCATGGACACATGGTTTTGTTGAGGAATTTTTGTTCGTTTGACATTTGGCAATGTGAAACCAACCAGACCAAATGAAAAAATATATAATGTAATTGAACTCTCATTCGAACTATAGCTCAAAACTACAGTGGGGGAAAAAAGTATTTAGTCAGCCACCAATTGTGCAAGTTCTCCCACTTAAAAAGATGAGAGAGGCCTGTAATTTTCATCATAGGTACACATCAACTATGACAGGCAAAATGAGAAAAAAATATCCAGAAAATCACATTGTAGGATTTTTTATGAATTTATTTGCAAATTATGGTGGAAAATAAGTATTTGGTCAATAACAAAAGTTTCTCAATACTTTGTTATATACCCTTTGTTGGCAATGACACAGGTCAAACGTTTTCTGTAAGTCTTCACAAGGTTTTCACACACTGTTGCTGGTATTTTGGCCCATTCCTCCATGCAGATCTCCTCTAGAGCAGTGATGTTTTGGGGCTGTCGCTGGGCAACACGGACTTTCAACTCCCTCCAAAGATTTTCTATGGGGTTGAGATCTGGAGACTGGCTAGGCCACTCCAGGACCTTGAAATGCTTCTTACGAAGCCACTCCTTCGTTGCCCGGGCGGTGTGTTTGGGATCATTGTCATGCTGAAAGAACCAGCCACGTTTCATCTTCAATGCCCTTGCTGATGGAAGGAGGTTTTCACTCAAAATCTCACGATACATGGCCCCATTCATTCTTTCCTTTACACGGATCAGTCGTCCTGGTCCCTTTGCAGAAAAACAGCCCCAAAGCATGATGTTTCCACCCCCATGCTTCACAGTAGGTATGGTGTTCTTTGGATGCAACTCAGCATTCTTTGTCCTCCAAACACGGCGAGTTGAGATTTTACCAAAAAGTTATATTTTGGTTTCATCTGACCATATGACATTCTCCCAATCCTCTTCTGGATCATCCAAATGCACTCTAGCAAACTTCAGACGGGCCTGGACATGTACTGCCTTAAGCAGGGGGACACGTCTGGCACTGCAGGATTTGAGTCCCTGGCGGCGTAGTGTGTTACTGATGGTAGGCTTTGTTACTTTGGTCCCAGCTCTCTGCAGGTCATTCACTAGGTCCCCCCGTGTGGTTCTGGGATTTTTGCTCACCGTTCTTGTGATCATTTTGACCCCACGGGGTGAGATCTTGCGTGGAGCCCCAGATCAAGGGAGATTATCAGTGATCTTGTATGTCTTCCATTTCCTAATAATTGCTCCCACAGTTGATTTCTTCAAACGAAGCTGCTTACCTATTGCAGATTCAGTCTTCCCAGCCTGGTGCAGGTCTACAATTTTGTTTCTGGTGTCCTTTGACAGCTCTTTGGTCTTGGCCATAGTGGAGTTTGGAGTGTGACTGTTTGAGGTTGTGGACAGGTGTATTTTATACTGATAACAAGTTCAAACAGGTGCCATTAATACAGGTAACGAGTGGAGGACAGAGGAGCCTCTTAAAGAAGAAGTTACAGGTCTGTGAGAGCCAGAAATCTTGCTTGTTTGTAGGTGACCAAATACTTATTTTCCACCATAATTTGCAAATAAATTCATTAAAAATCCTACAATGTGATTTTCTGGATTTTTTTCCCTCAATTTGTCTGTCATAGTTGACGTGTACCTATGATGAAAATTACAGGCCTCTCTCATCTTTTTAAGTGGGAGAACTTGCACAATTGGTGGCTGACTAAATACTTTTTTCCCCACTGTATGTGTGAAAACGCCCTGGTTGGGTTCGGTTGGACTGGTGTGAACACTAGGGGTGTGCCGACATGGCCATACTCGTATTCGTAATCATATCTGTAAATTGACAGTTGATAGTCGGATAGGATGATACTCGTGATCGGAGAAAAATTCAATGTTTTCATATGGCAAAGTAGGAAAATACCTATCTCCCTGCACCAAATGAAAAAAATACAATGTAACAAATAATCTAACTCTGATTCGAACTATAGATCAGAACTATGTGTGTAGTGTAATATAGAAAATCCCCATCAAGTGGATGAGTCACCATTTAAAGTTTGGTGGAAATTATCCCACCATCATGTAGGTTGGTGGAAATCCCCATTGACTGAGGATGAGGGTTCTCCATTATGTACACTACCAGTCAAAAGTTTGGAGACACCTACTAATTCAAGGGGTTTTCTTTATTTTTACTATTTTTCACATATGGAATCATGTAGTAACCAAAAAATGGTTAAACAAATCAAAATATATTTTATATTTGAGATTCTTCAAATAACCACCCTTTGCCTTGATGACAGCTTTGCACACTCTTGGCATTCTCTCAACCAGCTTCATGAGGTAGTCTCCTGGAATGCATTTCACACATGTGTCCCCTGTAGCTCAGTTGGTAGAGCATAGTGCTTGCAACGTCAGGGTTGTGGGTTCGTTTCCCACGGGGGTCCAGTATGAAAATGTATGCACTCACTAACTGTAAGTTGCTCTGGATAAGAGTGTCTGTAAAATGTAATTAACAGGTGTGCCTTCTTAAAAGTTAATTTGTGGAATTTCTTTCCTTTTTAATGCGTTTCAGCCAATCAATTGTGTTGTGACAAGGCAAGGGTGGTATAATTACCTACTATGTTTAATTGTTACTTGATTAAATTAAACATGTAACAATTAACTAATTAGGAATTTGGGGCACCACGGGAAATGTTGTTTAACGAGTTACATTTTCCCGAATTAACTCTAAAGATATCTAGATACAGTGGGGAGAACAAGTATTTGATACACTGCCGATTTTGCAGGTTTTCCTACTTACAAAGCATGTAGAGGTCTGTAATTTTTATCATATGTACACTTCAACTGTGAGAGACGGAATCTAAAACAAAAATCCATAAAATCACATTGTATGATTTTTAAGTAATTCATTTGCATTTTATTGCATGACATAAGTATTTGATCACCTACCAACCAGTAAGAATTACGGCTCTCACAGACCTGTTAGTTT